CTTTCAAAGGTTACAGATACTATAAATTCTAGACCCCGATTAATACCCTAACAATTGTGGGAATTCTCCCGCCGGAATGTGCAGCCACTGAGCACAATCTAAATAAAGAGCCGACATCGGCCGCTACCGTGTTATAAGCCAGGCTTTGTGCGACTTCCTGTGCCCACAGACACACACCGACGCGTCCCTCCCGCACACATGCTGAACCACTCGCCGCCATTTGCCTTCGGCCTTGTTTGTTAGTCTGCCTGTTTGTGCTGGTGTTGGTGTGGCTCATTTTGATGGCACGGAAGTCGCTTGTTTGCCCGGCTGCTCTTCTGAGTGTGGGCCTGGCTTTAAGTGTTTACGTGGCGTATTAGTAATAAATGTAATGTGCATAAAAGTGTCCACACGGCAGGCACTCGTAAAGCGAGAATGTTTACAATGTGTTTAGGCCTCCGAACGGGGCACGCTTTTATAGATTTTTACAGCTTTATCCCAGCAGCAGCCTCGGCCATCAGCTCTCTTCATCTATTGGCCTCGTCAAGGGCCATGTCAAATGCAGGCACTTAATCAATCAAAAGCCCAGGCAAGGCCGCCTTATTAGACATCTCTCACTGCTTTCGGGCAAAGTTCTTTCCGGCTGCCAGCTCTACTTTGTTTGTTTGTTTGTTTTTGGCAGCACAAATTATGGCCGGACATGTTCAAACATTTGCCTGTCCATCTAACCATTTGTCCTGCCAAATGCGTTTCATGTTCATCCAGCTTCCAGCTGCCAGCTCCCCAAGGAGGAAAAGGAGCGGGGAAATTGATCCCAGGACCAGGCTTAGATGGCTGGGCCGATAAGTCGCCGGCCTAAGACTTGGATATAGAGTAAAGTATGCCCGGGATTCCCATTTCCTTCGCTGTAAGTCCGCCCTCAATAGTCACACAATTCTGCGGCCAGCCATTAAATATCCCGGAACGCCCTTTCCTCAAGGGGTTTCTTCTGTCTTTGCTTCTTCTGTTTTCCACCTTCTAGGCCAGTCCAGTCCGGTTCAGGCAACCCAATTAAAATTCCACAAATTCAAGAAAGACCCAGTCTAATGTTCCGCGCAGACATCCTTGAAACGTTATCTATTACTCCCTGCTCTCTCTCTCTCCCTTTACAAATTCATTGCAAATACTTTGCGCTACTTAGCGGCCATTTTTCATCTTTGTCTATGAAAGGGATAGAAAAAAGGGTTCCCTTTCACGGCATACTCTTAATTAATTAAAATATTTTCGACTCTGGCTAAAAATAATTTCTCTTCTTTCCTTTTCAGTTCGCTGTAAACAATATGGCAACATTTTGGCAATTAATGTGGCTTTAATTCGCTATTGAAATGGCAGCGAGAACGGCTTGAAAAGTTTGTTGGCAATACAACTCGGCTTATTGGCCAACTAATTAAGCTCGGCCAAGGCACTCGGTCAAGGGTCAAAGAAGTGGTTTATACCAAAAATAAAAGGCAGCAGGGTTAAACTGTTGGGGGGGGCAGGTGCGTGTGTGTGTTGGCAGGTGGATGCCGCCTGGGGTCAGGTCAGCTCCGTCCGGGCCAGCTTATCCGTATCCGTCCTAAGCACACCCGGAGGAGACTGCAGCGAGGAAATTAAAAGTGTGCAGTCCGAGTGCTCCGCTCTCAAGTGGCTGCCGCTTCTAAAATTAGCCTTCCCCTCGGCTCTAAGTGGAAGTTTTTATTTTGCCATTTCTCTCGCTTGTGTTAGTGTTTTTCTTTTTTGTTGTGACTCGTCTTTCCTTTCCTTTTATTTATTTTTTTTATTTTTTGCCTGCCTTAAGTAGCTGAATTTTTGTGTGGCTTACTTGCGGCTGGCTGGAAGTTAAGCTGCAGCTCATAAATTTTATTCCCGCCAGGGCCCACGTGGCGTATGCGCAACGTCACTGGGTTGTGGACCGAATGGAGCGTAAATGTTTACGTTTGTCAAATATTTACAGAGCGCTCTCAAAAGGGCATCAAATCGGGTAAAAGGTGCGATGAGCTTAATGGCTCACAGGCGTGATCTTCGAGCGTATTATGTCACAATCTGTTGGGGAATGCACGCAGCATTTAATCAAATTAATTACGCAAATATTCCGAAAGGGCCCAAATTAATCCACTAAGTTCGAATTCGTTCGCCTTTGCCATTTAATCGCTGCCCCCCAGCGCCCAGTCACGTTGGGCAGCCCATCGCAGACTAATTGCCAGCACGTGTATGCCACATTAGTCAGTCTCCGGTTGCCGGTCTTCGGTCTCTGAAGGAGAGAAAAAGTTTCACCGCTTCCTTGACCCATATCAAAAGTCAACAAACTGCGTACATGTGTCCACGGAGAAGAAGAAAAAACTGTCATTCAGTCTATAAATATATTCAAACACCGAGGGAACTGGAAGAAGGCATAGATATAGATACGTATAGATGATGTATAGGCGAGACGAGAGCACAGGAAATATTTATAAATATTCTGCAGCATTGCAGCTAAAATTTGATACAATGTTTACAAATGGCTCTGGATTTGTTTCGGCCAGCTGAGGGAGAGGGCCAGTATCAAGGCCAGTGCCGTTGACCAATATAAATGAGCAAACAAACGGCGGTCGCATGCAAATGAATGGCTAGCCGAATAGAGAGCGAGTCTGCCAAGATTGATTGCGTCGAGATATGAGTTATGGGACGCGGAATAAGCAGAGTTTCATCAGACTAGACTGAAGCTGGAACAAGTGCTCCACGTGGCAGCTATTTATCGAAAACGATGGCCCATCAAAAGTTCACAAAGTTGGCAACTTCCCAGTGGCGCTGGAAGTGATTTCAAAGCTGAGAGGGAAAAACTCCATTGCAATTTCGTGATTTTTAATTTCAAAATTCATTTGAAATGCATAGCAGCAGTTTGTTTGCTAACAAAATTGTTTTACTGCGTTTTTGTTCCTGCATTTTTGTTACACAAACACGAAACATGGCAATTGAAATTCCATTCACACCATTTTCGATTTAACTTTTATATATTTTAGAAATTCCACATCACTTTTTGCTCCTCTAATTGCCAGACTGCATTATTTATGGGCCTTTTATTGTTTATGTATGATGCACATATTGTTTATTTACACGAGTCAACATATCTTGTCAGAGGGAAACTGTCTGGCTGACTGGAAAATGAGCGCAGGGAAATGGGAAATGGGAAACGGGCATGTGTTAATTTTGATTGCTTTGTCGCGCGCGCTTTCTCTCTCTTTCCACATTGTTTGTTTACGAATAAATCGGTCTCTGAATTCGTATCTCGATATGAATATGAATGGAAATTAATGCGAATCGCTGGGTTTGATGTGGTCTGTCCCAGAACACACAGCCCCAAGTGCTCCGACCTGTCTGAGACGTATTTATTTGCTTTGATTATTTCAAATATGATTTGCCTTTGGCCCAGGTCCCACAAGCAATTCCTATGCAGACGACGTTCATGACCTTCGACAGCGAGAGCCTGATTGCCTCGAGGCTGCTCGTGTTGTTCACTTGAACCCACTGGGCTACGTGACGTATACGTGATGCGGGATTTTAGCATGGGGAAGGTAAAGGGAACGAAAGTCGTGGCAGGGATTTTCTTTTGTTTTATCAGCCTATTCTTTGGCTCTTTTTGGTTAAAACCTTGTTTATCTGGTTTTCTTTTGAGGCTAAAAATAGAACGAAAATTAAGTTAAAGAAGTTAGAGTGCTTTAAAGATATTTATGTTTAATTTTGAATTAAATAACTTACTAATAATGCTTCATTCTTTCTAAATTAATACTCTTTAGTTTATATTTCAACTTCTACTTAAAGCTTTATATCCCTTATCTTAATTGCTGCGCTTATCTCTCTATTTTCTTGCTTTAATAAAGCAATAACTTTATTTAATTCTACCTCAAATTGTTGGCTTTTCGGGTCTTCATTAACTGCTTCGGTTTTTGGAGGTCTAACGAGGCGCACAATCGGCCACTAATTAATGGTCTCAAGGTGCCCGTTCAATAAGTGGCCGGAAACCCCATTAAGCGGCAGGAAAAGCTTTGACATTGCCCTCTGACCTGAATGGCTATTGAACCTCAGCTTCGTCCTGGGCGCTGACCCGACGAAACAATTGGCAAGTGTCATCAACAGTCGCGATTTGTATTTTGAATAAAACGAGAGAGCACAGAACAGCAGCCTGGCCAGGTAAATTTATTAATAATAAAGCACCTTTTGTGCATAATTTGAAAGGTTTGTCCTTTGTCCTTGGGCCAGCTGTCGCGGCGTTTATTAATAAAGAGGCGTCGTGGGAGGTACAGCTTATTATTAGGACCGATTCCAGGTCCGACGACGTCGACAATTACCGCTTAGCGTTGCCAGGTCTACAATTATGCGCACCGGTAGTCAAATGAGGGGATGTCCTGGGCCAGGAATCCATCTGGAGCAACCGCCTCCCCCTCCGCCTCCTGCTGGGTGAGAATCCTGCCAGTGTAGTGCAAACATTTTGCAATTTTCAGTCCAACAATGGAAAGCAATTACAAAACAAACTCAGCGCTAAATGAGTGTGTGGCAACATGGCAAACAAAGTGTGAAGAAGGCTAGAGGGGATTGGGGGCTGGGTCTGGCACTAGGTGTGAGTTGTGGGTCCTGGTGTGGGGTGTGCCGCCATAGGGGCGTTGCTGGTGGTGCCAGTGTACACATGACTGGGACTGTTGTCAGGCGTGGGCGATGCCTTGATTGGATACGCTCGGAATAATTTCCCCGGGCACCTCCTCCTGCTCCACTCGCAGCCAAGTTATGAGAGCCGGAACACAAATTGATTGGTAATAAAACTTACAAGATTTCACAATTATCCAGCGCTCGAAAGGAAGTCCCTCAAAGGAGATTAGAGTTTGCCCCATTGACCTCATTTGGTATTGCCTTGGCACTATGCAAATAATTAACAAATAATAAACTAGCTTTTAAGGTTATATTGGGCTTTATGGTTTTTATATTCCTGATACTTTTTGTGATTAAAATATAATAAATAATCTGAGGAGCAATTACTTTCCTTCCGCTGCCGCCAAGCGAGGCTCGAAGAAGGCCTTCATCTGCATCAGGCCCTCCCAGTTCTCGTCCCAGCCGGGAGTGACCTTCTTGGCATTGGCATACCACCTGGCCACATTCGGGTACTTGGCAATATCAAACTCCACGATCTCATAGGTGGACACAGTAGCCAGAATGGCAATGTCGGCAATGGTAAGTTGACCACCGGCTACATAGTCCTGGGCCGTCAGGAATGTCTCTAGCAGGTCAAAGGCAGTCTCGATCTTCTTGAAATCTTCGGCGGAACCGGGTTTACCAGTTTGGAAGAGGGGGTAATAGTACTTGATGAAAGCAGCATACAGGGTGCCCATGTCAAAGTAAAGACGCTGATTGATCACGGCCTGCTCCTTGGGATTCTTGGGGAACAGGGAGTCGTCCTTGCCGTACTTCTCCACCAAATAGACGGCGATGGCGCGGGACTCCCAGATGGAGAACCCATTGTCCACCAGGGTGGGTATTGTGTGCTGAGGATTGAGCTTCACGAACTCCGGCTTCAGCTGTTCGCCCTCCATGGTGTTCAGAAGCTTTTTGTTGAGCTCCAGTCCCAGGGCCTTGGCCACCATGATGACAGCGCGGCAGCCGCTGCTGCCTGGCATATAGTAGAAGTCCATAATGTTGTAGTTCGTGGTGCTAAGCGCTGGAGGGAAAATCAAATACTGACTGCTAACCAAAATGTTTGCCACTTAAATAGTAAAATGTTTGTGAAATTATCTCTGCCCGTTTGTTATGTCTAGCTCCAATAATGTCTAGTCATAGTTAGACCCCACATTATAAACTTTTTCGGTGTCTATGAATGAATCACTTCAGTGGCGTTTCACTAATTGATATTTAAAGAAGCGGACATAGCGTATATAGATAGCACCAAAGTTTGACACAGATATAGATAGGTATATAGGTGTATTTTATTTAGAATTAGTTGAGTACCATAAGCGCTTTCCTATTTTAAATTAATTTTTTCACTGAGTTACGAATTTTTGCCAAAAACCACAATACCCTGCATTTATATTAAATTGTGAGTCATAGAAAAAGTAACAGATATGGGTCAGTGGGCACTGATAACCAAGTTATGTTTAACCCTAAAAAAATACTGATATATTTTTCCGCTTCTTACCTTTAGTTATCACTAATTTAATTTGAAATTATAATGTGATTTCCTTTGCTAACCAAAATAGTTTGTGTGCTAAAACATTAAGCATTCATTGCGAAATTATATTGCTGAAATCCCCAAAAACAATTACATTTAATTGGTGTCCCCTTAAATTATTCGCCGACGTCTTAAATGCCAGTGGCTAGCCCTCGAGTTGCTAACTTCAAAGTTGCGCATACGCCCCATGTGCTTGTCAGACTCGCCTCTCTAATTGCCAACTTGGCGACGCCGAGACCATAAAACAAGCGACATCAAGCCGCAAACAATGCGCCTTCTATGCCGGCTGGATATATCCGTAGTTGGACCGGCAACGGGTCGCGTTTCGCGTTTCCCCAGGTGGCTGGCCAGGCAAATTAAAGTCACTGAGCCCGCCAACTAAATATGCCATGAAATGTTGCCAACGGATGTCGTCCTCCTTGTCGTCGTCCTGCAGCAGTTGCAGCTCCTCCAGCACGCCTGTGCCTCCAGTTTGCAGGGAAACTTTGCGCGAATCCCAGCGTCGTTTATTGTTGACTCAACTGGCTGCCATTTCCGGCATCCGGGATACCGGAGGAGCCCGAGAAGGACCCGGAGGAGGCGGTGCCTCCTGGCAGACAGTTTGTTTTATGATTGCGCGTCGACTAATTCGCCCTGCAATTTTGCAATTAAATTGTAGAACGTGCCATGGATATGCAAAGTTCTGGCTTCGCCTTCGCAGCTTCTTGGCTGAAGTATATTAACAGTTTCTTGCTTAGTCGGGCTATGCAATTAGTTGGAAACTGGAGCTGAGATTCATCAATCACGCGGCCACACACTAATTGTCTGTCAATAGGAAGCTGGTATGTGACTTTCGGGAGCCACTTGGGAGCTCAGCATTAGCATACATCAACGTGAGTGTATAACTTTTGCCTGTAAAGAGTAATCAATCATAGATGAGAGGAGCTTCCATTAGTGAGGACGACCCTCCAAGAGACACTAGGTATTTGGTTACATGTCGTTGCCAAAGTTTAATATCCGCTGCTTCTCCTTGTCGAGCTCAACCCGGGAATGCCACGACATATTGGATCTCTTCCAGCTCGTCATCTCGAGTTGCATGCCAGTTGTCCTCCTCGCCTTGGCTGCACCCTTCGAGGCGTGCTCGGCCCTGTCGTTCAGTTACAACTTCAACATTACATTCCAGTGCTCAGTAAAAAGCTGCAAATGACGTGCAATCCTTGTCAGCAGTGGATAATAACAACATTGAACAACAAACAAACAAGTCGGAACTATCAGCAGACAGCAGCAACAACGTGAAATCAATAAAAAAGCAAGGAGAGAAGGTTTACTTTGGCTACTAGAGTCCTAAATACTCTTAGAAATATAATAAATGTTATAATAAATCTACGTAATAAAGGAAACTCTGAATCTTAATATAAATTTTAAGATATGATGTAGTATATGGTTTAGTTGTTGACTTGGTCTTTATGTATTTACTTTACTTGTTTATTTCCTAAAGTAGGAAATCTTTACAATATATATTCACTTAAAACTAAATAAAGTGGTTTAAGTAATAATTGGTACGATTAAAATCTTAAATAAATCTTAAGGTAAGCAAACATAATCAATGAACTTAAAAAACAATATTGTCCTATACCCTGTTAGTGTATAAAATCGAACAAAAGTAAAAGCGAAAACATTTTCATTTGGATAGTCCGACAAAGAACATGTTAACTAATGCTTTACAAGATGTTCGCACATTTAAGATCGTTTCTTTTATTACTTTTTTTTGTTTTTCGACAATAAAATGTAATGGGCCAGGGGCATGGATAGCAGCGGATTAAGCGCTCTATTAAAATTGTTCAAGGAGAAAAATAGGCCAAGCGGCTAAACAATATAATTATTTTTATACTATCCCCAGGACGCATTATGTTATCCATTAAAGATTTAATTTCGAGCCCAAATAAAGTGCTCTGGGGGAGAAATAATTTATTTAGTGCAGAAACATCAAAAATAGCCTTTTCCTGCAAAATGTTATTTAAGCGATCGTTTGCGTGTTAATTTATGGACTTCATAGTTGGCTGGCCATAAATTGCAGCACATATCGGAGGAGGAAGAGAGGGCCATTAAATTGTTTAACTAAACATGCAATCTCACAAATGGCAGCCCCGAGTGGAGGAGGATGAGGAGGAGGAAGGCCAACAAATGCATAATTAAAATGCCAAAGGGAAACCAATTGTTGCTGCCGCAAAATGGAGTTTCCCTCTACCTTTCTCTCCGTTTGCCATTTTTTTGTATGAAATGTGTTAATTAAATTGTCACTCGCATTGTTTTGCACCCCGCTGCTGTGTAATTACCATTTGTGGAATTTTTTTTAGAGAAAGAGAAAGCCTTTTATACTAACTTTAAAGAGTTAATAGACTGTCAAGTTAAAGGTTAGGGTTCTGAGCTGACTAAATCTTCGAGGGCATTATTTGGCATTTTCTTTATCCGGCTCAAGGGATAAGTGCAAATATTAACCCATTGTTGGGGCCCCAGTCCCTGGCAAATCCCATCCAATTATGAGCGAAATGCATTCGCCCCACCAGGAGCTCTCCTCAACTGGCGCTGGCATTAACATCAACAATATAACCAGCGCGTGCAGCTGAAGTGCCACCCCAAAACTGAATCCCCTTTCGCATAAAAAGCGCGTTTTTTCGGAGGGTTTTCGTTTTTATTTTCTATTAAATTTTTTTTTTTTAGGGGGGCCAAAGTAAAATCAAGCTTGAAGATCAACAGCAAGCGCAAACACAAACACCAAACTGAGCTGTGTGAACTTGTGTAAACTGGGGGAGGGACTGGTTGCGACTAAAGGATGCATTCTGGGTGCATTCGTGTGGCTGTCCTGTCTTCCAAGTAACATGTTCGCTGTGGCGCTGGCAGCGTGAAAGGATTTCGTTGCTTGCAGGCCGTCACAAAGGAATATAAATATTGAAAAATTTCTTGCCACTCTGCAGATACGAGTAGGGGCATGGACACATGAAATGCGGCATTGACAACGATTTAATTGCAACTTGCATATGATATATGGAACGGGGACCACACACAGGCCACCCGTGCTGGTCATAACTTTGTTTTTTCTGTTCCCCCGGCACCACCCAGCAGAGGTGTATATTTTTCCTGGGAAAACAAAATATGCGGAGAGCAGTCCGTATGGAAATGCTTGTGTTGCTGTCCTGCCATGCAAAGTGTCCAATAAAAGTTTCCCGAGAAGAGTTTCCCCAAGCAGAGCATGTCGGGCTTAGGTGGTCCGATTCTCTCGGAATTTTCCCCTTTTGAAAAGCATTAATATTGAATTTTACCATATGAGAATATACAGTATCCTTATTTGTATTGGGAACGGATGCACATACCAAAAAATATTATAAACATTTATAAATTTATAAATATCAAATGAAAGTCCACACACTAAATTCTCCTTTTATTTTTTATTCAATTTAAAACGAACCCTTTCACATTCTATGATACCTGCTTTTATCATAGAAAGATCAAAGCAAGTTTATCTTGAATTGCTTATAATTTCCCCATAATTATATATATATTTTCCCTGAGTTTTATGAATGAAAGCAACTGTCTCTATATACCCCAATGAAGCCTGCTGCCAACACGCCACACAAACATTTCCCCAAGCCTTCTTCACTCGCTGCTGCTCCTCCTTTTGTGGGGAATATGCAACTTTGCAGCCTCTCACGGCAAGAACAACACGAAGAGCACTCCTCCGATGGGAACAAGTGCGGAACAAAATAAAACTCGAAAGTTTGAAGCATGTTGCCCCACTGACACGCCTTTGCCTTTAGTTTCCATTCTGCCAGCTCGCTAATTACACGCTCAGGTTTAAGCTAATATACTCTTTAAATTAATTTTCATCTGCCGTCAGGTTCAGGGAATGCCTTGAAGGCTTTCCCTAGTTACCCAGGTCCCTTTGCTGCAGCTGAAAATCAATTTCCAGTCGATTTCCCCCTATATTCTTTGGCACCCCCAAAACCCTGGCCAATCAATTGCCAAAGCTCAAATGCAATTACGTGTGGTATTTCAATCGTGAATGGAAACTAGGGATGGGTTCAAGTTAACAGGCGTTGGGGTAAAACTTAAATGAGTTAAGTTTTTCACATGCAATCCATCTTGGCGTCATTTTGCTGGTATTGGTAAACAAAGGAAATTATCCTTGAAGCAATGAAAGTAGAACTGAATATAAAATTAATCAAGTTAATGTATAATATAAGTCCAGACCGAAGTAGAAAGCTATCTAGAATTGATTACCTATATAAATTATCATTGAAATTATTAAAGTATTTTCTGTTCTCTAAATAGAGTAAAAAATATAACGTTAAACCTAAGAAATATTAATCACCAAGCCACATATACATATGTGTTAGCCTTTTAAAAATCAGGCTTAACCTTTTTATATATGTATATTTTTTTTGGCCAGGCTATTAGGCCTCCAATTTTAGGTAATTTAAGCCACAAAAAAAAAAACTTTCA